GGGGGGGGGGGGGGGGGACCTTGGGCATATATATGGGCATTTTGACTAAAAGTCTGGGCCCCAGTGTGGGGATGTTTTGTTTTTGGCGAGGAGGAAGGGGAACTGAATCACTTCATGGTATGTGCTCCTCAGTGTGGACATCTCGAAATAGTTCTTCTGTAGAAGAACACAAGCATTTTGCAGGTGAGAACTTGTTTTCAACAAATAAAACAACTACTTCTCCCTACTTTGTGGGGATTTAGAGGATTTTTAATTTTTAGTCTCACTTTTTATCAGATAATCAAGTGTCGGAATTCTTATATTTTCCATCCATTGACAGGGTACATTAAGCACCTCTTGAAATTTAAGGATGCCTGCAGGGCAGTACACCACGGCACTATGCTAAGGTGGGGATGTTTGATCTGATTTCACCCATTTTGGGGCCCTATGGTGGGGATGTCAACCAAACATTCTTCTGAAAGGTCAATTATCCCATATATGCCCAGGGTCCCCACAGGGGTTAACATTGATAGATGCATAAGTGCCAGTTTGATGAGCTACTTGCCTCAAATGCAAATTTGCATTAATATTTAAAAAATTCTCTGATCTAGTACTACCGCGATTAAAGGCACTAGGTCATGGTACTTTGGCTAATTCTGATTATTTTGGTTATGTACTCTAAACTTCAAATTGGCAGAACAATAAAATATGTACCTCTTGAAATTTACGAATGCCTGCCTTTAAAGGCAAGTCACAGCCACATAACAACCAAGGATGATCTCTGAGCATTATAAATGGCATTTTCATACAAATACAAACTGAGATAAGCTTGAAAGAGCTCAGCCTGACATTCGTCAAGATCACACAAATGTACCGTAATCAATTTTATACCCAGTTTTCCCACCCATGCCCCTTTTTGGCTTTTCTGAGACAGTTTATTTTGAATTTTTCTACATTTTTAAGCCAATACTGTGATACTGCAGTTAATTCCATGACCAGGCCAGTAACTCTAAACTTGCCTCAAATTGCATTACATAGCTCCTTTAATACAGGACAACAGGGAACAATTTGCAGGCTTGTGTCTTTAAAAACACTTTTACAAGTCTGCATAAGAGCCAAGTGGCCCATCAGGTCGGAGCTTATTCCGGTTTCTGTAGCATATAGTGACTAGGAGTATTTCTACTCTCCTCTGGATGGGACCTAATCCATTGCATGGTTATCCCAGGCATTAAGTTCACTGTAACTATTTATACACCTGGGTAGAGAGAGGCATTGTTAGAGTAGGGTGTCTTGCCCAAGAACAAAACACAATGTCCCCAGCCAGGGCTCGAACGCAGACTGCTCAATTCAGAGACAAGCGCACTAACCATGAGGCCACCATGCCTGCCAGAGTACTTTTATAGTATACTATTATAACTGACCTGTCTTAAGCTTGGCACACACATAAACAACAGCTGTAAAGCAAGGAATGGCCATATCATAGACTGAAAGAAATATAAGAATACAAAATTATTACTGTGATCAGAGAAAAAATGTGTATCACTGTGATGCAATATAGAGAACAAGATGTGGATTGACTGAAATGTGACATTTCTCAATGACTGGTCACCTTAATGTCTTACAAGTGAAGGCAACAAAGGAACGACATCTAGTTGAATGAAAAAAGACAAATTCCCCAAGCAACCATGTTTTCCATATATTAACCCTTTCACCCCCACATTTTCACCAAAAAATGCTGTTTTAACCGCTAAATTATTTTTTTGGCTGCCACAATGCTAAATGGGCCTTAGTTTTGCTGAAAAAGGTATTTTTTTTACCAGAAAGATAAATTTCCTGAAAATTAGGTTAAAAATGTTCAAAATTTTAATTTAGCGAATGCGCATAAGCCAAAATTTGGACTTTCCTTTTCCCAGCCCTTTTACTCTCGCTATCTTTTGCGTTTCATTTTCTTTCTGGCTGCCGTAAAATGTTGGGTGTTAATTATGGGCAAAGCCTGAAATGGGACCTTGATCAATTATAGGTATAATGAGCCATTTTACCACCATTTTTGCACCAAAACTGATAAAGTTGTTTTTCAATTTGCTACGTCAGAATGTGGTCGATATCCAAAATCCACTGTTGTGTGGATAGATCTATCCTAGCTCCACTATCTGCTTANCATTTTTGCACCAAAACTGATAAAGTTGTTTTTCAATTTGCTACGTCAGAATGTGGTCGATATCCAAAATCCACTGTTGTGTGGATAGATCTATCCTAGCTCCACTATCTGCTTATAAAGAATATTTGGTAATGATTGACATCACAAGTGGTACATTAAAGAGCACGACCACTCAGTGCGTGTATATGTGCGCTTAGGGATAAAAAGGTTAATAAAACATTTTCCACACATTTTTTTAAGATTAAGCAGAAAGAGCCAAGAAAGATTTTTAAATGCAAACAAATTTCAGGTCCATTACCCACCATAGATTCTGGATAAAGGTAAAAGCCAAGTCAACATCAATACAAGGCAGAACTGTCCATAAATGCAATATCATCAAAATCTATACATTGTACATGTGAGATATCACTTTTTCATGTTTTTTTTTTTTTTATTCAAAGCAATTTATGTCTGCCGTGTGTCCGATATCAAATCCCAGCACAAATACCCCTAGTCATCACCGAAACTGTAAGCTCCAGATGGTGGTCTAGAACACTTCCCCCGATCAATGCAGAGTTTACCTACAACCTTACTCCAAGAAAGGTCACTAGAAATTCAGAGAGGTAGAAGGGTTTCAAAAGCCAAAGCTTTTGTAAAAAAAACTTTAATAAAGGAAGGTATAAAGCTTAACTGACATCAGCTTCAGTTGCTAGCTAATTCCGGTCCATTACCTACAATATGAAGACAGTCCGTTGTTAGAGGGTAGGGCTGGGATGATTTAGGGGGATACAGAGGGTTCTGTCGCTCCCCCCCCCCTCCTAAATTAAAATAAATGAGACATTATAACATGCTAATTTGACCTCAGAATGCCCAAAATCTCATTTCTGAGGATCTCAATTTAAAAAATTTTACGGGAGAGGATTTTCCTGGAGCTGGTATCTCAGCAGTCCGTATCTCTAACACACTTCTTTGAAGTCCTGTATCTGGCCCAGGTAGGGATGAGAGTTCAACTCAACACAACCTTCAGGATGTGCATGTATATTTACTGGAACAGCAATGCGCATCCCTGCCAAAGAAATGTGAGAAATTCTACTACTTCACAGTGTAGCTGTTGGTGATATTACTGCTCGAGAAACAGCCAATTACAGTCTCAAAAACAGCCCCATAGAGTCATTGGCACGGTAGAGTCCCATTTAAATCTCAAACATCGCTCAGATGGAGGATGAATTGAGTGCGTGAAACAGACGTCTGTCTCCTCAGCTAACGCTATCTTACCTCTGACTGGACCAAATCATTTTGAGAATTACCACGATCTTGGTTTCTATTCAAAGAAAGTAAAACTTCCAAGTTTACATAGGTCCACTTGCTCACTAATACAATAGCCAAGATGATAGTGAATATAACTCGAGTCCATATACCAGAGTTTGAGGTGGAAGATAAGTGTTCAACTGTTTTGTTGACTTCAGCTGGCGGAAGATTCTGGTGGCGACTTGTCACTTCGGGTACATCTTTAAATTCGTCATCCAAATAATTTTTTCCGTCCGTTTCTATATCTTTTGATTCGCAAGCAGTTTCTTCAGCTTTACTGCTTTGGACAGTTTGGTTGTCTTCATCTTCTATAGGCGACGAAACATCTTTTTCCCTAACAATAGTTTCACTTTCCTCGGGATCAACATCAAATTTGTTCTGATTAGAAACATCTTTTTCCGCTGAAGTAGAATTTAAAACAATCTCAGATGGTTGGTGTTGTGAGTTTAAAGTAGTGAGATGGCTTGATCGACTTCCCAATATTCTCTGAAGGCGATCCTCGCTATTTT